TATATATATATATATATTCTTTTTAGTCTTTATAATTTTATAAACTTTATTTTTTAATCTTTTTAATTTTATAAATTTTATCTTTTCAGTCTTTATAAAAATATAACATAAACTAAAATAGAATATTTTTAATTTAAAAATTTAAAAATAAAGTTAATAAAACTATAGGAGTGAAAGAGTAATTAAACATTTACTGATTTAAGCCATTTAATGTATGAAATTTAATTTGTTTTAAACTTATTTACATGTTGAAATCGTGTATTTTCACCTCAATAGTTCAATCATATAACTATCTACATATATTCTCACATATCAATATATATATACCCAATCACACCTAGCAACACATAACATTCAATAGATTCATCTAATCTATCCATTTTCAGCAATTAATCATATAAATAAGAAGTTGTTATAAGGCTACCCACGCTCAACACTATCCACCTCGCCTTTAACATCATTAAGATAAAGAGCCCTCTACCTCGTTTAGGCTCAATGTCATATAACCCGCGCCTGACATGAATTAGGTAGGGATCCATGGGTCTTCACGTTTAGCGTAACAAAATCTCATGCCCAACCCCAATCTAGGTAGAGATAATACTTTCTTCTCACATCTAACATCACTTCTTTGGTGCCTGACTCCAAGGTGTCATTCAAATCACGTTTAACGCCATTTCAACTTGAGAAAATTCTCTTTCCTCATGCCTGACGCCACCAATTTTGCGCTCAACGTAAACAAGACAAAAAACCTCTTATTGAAATCATGTCTGACGCCATGAAGGCATGTCCAATGCAATGGTGAGTTTTGCACTTGTAGATTCACAAATTTGACTCAAACCACCTTATCGAAATCTAAAAATTTCCAAACATGCATTGTAATATATCATTCAAGTACATCATCAACATTTCATTCTACACTAGAATAGCAACATGCAACACAAATATGACCAAATCATCATATTTCAACTCAACACTTTTTATAAATTCCAAGAACTACAAAACTCACATTTTCACCATACAAATCTAAGAATCCAATAATACACCCACATTTATTGAAATCTAGTAACATGCAACTCGAGCAATTCAACAACATCAAAGTTATAGCTTCCCTTGCCTCAGAGTTGAAGTGGACTAGGAAGAAGAAGGAGAGAAGGGACAAGCTCTAAACAAACTAAAGCTCCTCACTATGGCCCTCACAACACGATTCCAAGTTCTCTAACACCTTGAATCCAAGAATGAACAAATCATCTATGCTTTGGGAAGGCTAAGAAAGGAAGAAGTCTCAAAGAACTAAAGTTTCTCTCTCTAACTTATCTCTCTAAGATTTCTTAGGAACTAAATTTATGAAACTCAATCTTAAAAGAAATCTTATATATCTTTC